TATGTCTGATTTAATAATTTATAAACATTATGTTCATAATGTTGGGTTTTCTTTTTTATTAAAGACTTCCATTCTTTTTATAATAAAAAATAAAAAAAAAAACAATAAATATAATAATCCTAATATATAATAGATAAAATAAATATTAATTAATATATATATATATATATATATATATATATATATATATATATATATATATATATATATATATAGACTCTTCGCAAAAGCGAATTGAGTCACTCTCACTGTGTGTGTTTAAAAAAAAATATGTTAAAATTCACCTTCATCACTGCCGTGCGCCGACGACTTAATGGTAGAATCTTCGACTGACGCCAATTCAGAAGGGGTTCGATAGAAACAACCGGATGTCTATATATAATGAGCTGCAAACAGTCTGTCTGTGGTTGACGTTTTATATCTTCATTGTGTTTTTATTTTTTATTTATTTTTATATATATATATATATATATATATATATATATATATATATATATATATATATATAGAGAGAAAAATATAATAAAATAAAAAAACAATAATATATAAATAATCTTGGCTTGAAAGAAATTTAATTTTAGAAAATATCAGCAAATACACACACACACACGCATATATATATATATACATACATATATATATTATTTATATATATATTAAAATATATATAATTAATAATATATTTATATTAATAATATATATAATTAATAATATATATATATATTATTAATTATATATATATTTACATATATATATATATTAATAATATATATATATTATTAATCCTATATATATTATTAATATATATATATATATATATATATATGTATGTATGTATGTATCTATCTATCTATCTATCTACCTATATATATATATATATATATATATATATATATATATATATATTGCGCACTGCTTTTTCGCGCAGTATGCGTTTGATTTGTCACATCCAATGTCATAATCGTTTCGAAATATATTAGCATATATTATACGGCGAATTCTTCGCTTATTCTTTCATGAATATCTGTCCTCACATATATTTGCTCCATGGGAGACATAGCATTAGCAATAACTGTTAGTTTTCAATTTTCATCGGCGTAAGTCCATCAGCATTAACATCCATATGAGCGTGTGTACATTCTCCCCATCACACGTCCATCAATAAACGAGTGACGAGTCTGTGCACAACTCAGTCGGCCTGCTGGATCCGTGAGGTGAGAAAGCCACGATTCATCGCGTATAAAAACGCACCGAATCCATACGTCTGATTAGTTGCAACGCATTGTCGCATCTAAGCATGAACGCACACACCATCGTGCGCACATCCACGTGCAGGTACACATTCGCAGACGCAAATATTTCTAGGTAATCAACGCTTTCTTATCAGCAATATTAAACATCTGGAGTGAACATCTGGAGCGAAGCTGTACATATTTTTCCCGCTTCTTTATCTTTTTCCCGCGCTCTGTCCGGCTACAAGTGCCAACGAGAACATAACATTATCTAATCATTGAAAATTTCTACATTTCTCTAGGCAGGAACTTCACCAATAAGGTAGGTGTTACCACAGTTTTCATTATTTCCTTTTTAAAATTCTCAAGACTAAATTTCTTGTTATAAATTAAAAAAAAAAAATAATTTAAATGTATTTTTACGCTAATTTTTATTTTCAAGCGATTTAAAAAAAAAAAAAAATAAGGTCTCATAATTTATCATATTCGGGTTTATATATTAGGCCTGTGCAAAAGTGTTTCGTTTTTTTTTAATTGTGCTTTCTTTCTTTTATAGTAGGTCTTTTATGTGCAATAAACTTTCAGAAACTAGGTGATCAAGACTCTTCACGACTTCCTATACTTTCTAGTCTAAGTAATATTTGTGTTCCATACTATCGATATCAAAAACTGGTTTGTCAACCATTTACATAAGGCCATTAAATAAGTTAATCATGGCTCTCCACAACGTCCTATCCTTTGTAGCTCTAAGCAATATTTATATGCCTTACTATCCCACTCAGACCTTGTTCTGTTATTCATTTACGTAAGCTCTTTAGGTAGGTTATTAATGTTTCCTTCTGTTTACCTTCTCTTCAATGTCCTGTGTGTTTTAAAATCTCAAGCCATGTTTCCTCATTTTAAAAATGGAAACAGAAAAGTTTTACATTAATATATATATATATATATATATATATATATATATATATATATATATATATATATATATATATACATTATTTACATTATGCGGACTATTGTCCTCATCTTTGTCGCCATATTTATCACAACGTTTCGGCCGTTGTACGCCCAACCTTCTTCAGGTGGTTGGAATTTCGAACCGAACCCTTTATTTCGCTCACTGGTTCGAAATTCCAACCACCTGAAGAAGGCCGGGGCGTACAACGGCCGAAACGTTGTGATAAATATGGCCACAAAGATGAGGACAATAGTCCGAATAATGTAAATAATGTACATAATACCTCATCTCAGAAATATAGACAGAATAA